CGCGTATCCACACGCATTAGCCAAGGATTAAAGCGCAAAAAAAAACATTGAAGGCGTTCCAGGTTTCGGTAAGAGTCCCCAAAAAAGAGAATACTCAGATCCACCGTGACCTAGTGCACTTTTCCGACCTTTGGGTTTTCTTGCATGAAGTTGAGCTTGAAGCTGGGCGATGGAGACACGATTTCTCTACACTTACGTTCAGAATGGTGTCGAAGTCCGCGATCCGTCGCGCGATTCGCGCGATTCGCAAAATCGCAATCGCAAGTGCCCATTTGAACATTTGAAACACTGAATATGAAACAAGTAGAATCATGAACAGTCGTCATTCAACCATCACCATCAAGCAGAAATGGCACCGGGATTGGAGAGCACCTCGCAGTATGATCGGGGCACTGGTCGTTTCTAAGATCCATCGCGGATCGCAGACTCTGACATTAGCCTCACAGGCGACTGGGCGACTGAGACGAATCTCATCCGTGACAGGGTAGCATGTCCCACAACTGATGATGTTCTGCTCTTTTTACTAAGAAAACGTCGAGGATTCCTCGATAGGGATTGAGTTGGACTCCACAGGGGAGGGGGATTGTAGAAATGGCAGCGATTTTTATGAGAAAGGGTTTTGCTGGTTTCATTACAGTATTGTGTACATCCTCTTCAGAGCTATGCCTTAGGAATTCTTACTTTTCTCCTACTGGCAACGATAACTTAGGGATAACTTGAGAACATCCTAAAAATAAAAATCGAAAGTTTGAATAGAATGATCACTGGAAGCAAAGGGAATTATATGGGTTGGGAACTCTCAAAAAAAAAACCCTCTAGGGCATTTGGATGATCTTCATAGTTAAGGCCTCGGATGCCATCGCTCATGTCTGGAAGGGGAACAGAATGGCTAGTGAAGAAATGACAAGGGTAACTGCGGCCGGGCACTACGCTATTCTGTCGAGTTGCTGGTGAGAATAAGCTGGTTTTTGTGGAGAGTTTGACTCTCGCACTTTACTGCTTATCTGGGCAATATGTGACAAGAATTAAGGCAATGATAAATTGTTGCTGAGGTTACTGTCAATTTGGTGAGGTCGTGACCGTTCATTGGTGGTTGGAGTGATCCCTCATCCGCTCGGGCGGGTTGTAGTTGAATTTGCATTGAAGGTTCGATTGGCCCGGTTCATCGAAACCGTCAAACACTTTCAGTCACATGACACTCCTTCAAGCCCAACACGAACCTTAAGTTCTAGTATTTTTTCTTTCTTGCGACGGAGGCGGGGAATTTCTTGGAGAATAAACGGGCCGCGCGTGCACATGACTCTCTAGGTTCGAAGGAACGGAGGGGAGGAATCAGGTGGAATGCAAATGTCCCAAATCGACCCCTCCTTGCTTAATGACTACGTTTGAAATGCATCAAACTGTTCGTTTTTTCGCGACTCTTTTGAGCATTATGGTGACGGCATGTTCGGACGGGGAAGGGGAATTAATCTTAATTCTTGTTAAAATTTTCGACAGCCAAGGGTGTCCATGTAGGTTATTTGTAGCTTGTATGTTTGTGTAAGAAATAGAAGCGGGTATTGTCCGGGTTTCTTTATCACCTCCATTAGGCTAGTGGCTTTTTCCCAACGGTGGTCTAGAGCAAATCGATCTACTTTCGGTGTGCAGATGGTGCCCTGTGTAGAGGATGAGTTCCTGAGCGAATAAATATCCAAGTTTGCCAAATCAATGCATAAGGTTCATTCGATGAAATTTTGCAAAATACCCTCTATTCCGGAGCAAGAAGAGCGTCGAGTGCAGACCACACACCACAAGTTACGACGGTCAAGAAAAAAGAAAAGAAACAACCACTCTTTTTTTGGAAGTAAATCTGGTTAGAAGTTGTTCATAGTGATAGCTGATTTCTGGTAAATGATAGTTGTAATTAGTGACAATCGATAGAATACAACTGCAACAGGCTAATCATTTCATTGGCAGAAAACATTAACATTTTGTGCCGTCGTCACTTGTGGTGCATGGTCTGCACCCGACACTTTCTCGCTTTTGAAGGGGAGGGCATGCGGTAGAGATCCCATCTGCCATTACACCACTCTCTCTCTCTTTCTGTAGTTCCCACAGTAGCGTATGACATTAGCTCTGAAAGAGGGAATTCCAGGTATCTCGACCTGATCCAATACGGAGTCGACTGGACAACCTACTACGATTGTGATCCTACTGACTTCCCTGGTACCGATCAGCAGAAGGTACAGGTTTTCAGGGTTTTTGAGAACTACTTGTTGAATGCTTCAATAGACGCCCACTCCCCATTAGGCATAGTGTTTCTGTTCCAATAAGGCTATTTGCTCGAGTGCTTCGGTACAAAAAGATCGAAGAGATAACTTGCAAGGATGGACCACCCTTTAAAATGATTGACTTTAAAATTGCTGTAAATTTCCTCAACCAAGGCGAAGCAGTCTAGAGGCAAGCTTTGGCTGTGGACAGGTCCAAGGATCATCCTGGATCGTACACTGTCCCGGCTAATGAAGCCATTCATCACCCCACCGGTAGGCAGATTGGTGCCTGTGGGATTAAAAACGCAGATTTGAGTCACGTCTGCCCCTGCAACACATTAACTAGGTCAAATTACACTCGAAATGCTACTACGATTTCGAGTGGAAGTTGCATGCGTGGCGCATCCCTAAAAAGACTGATAAATGGGTTTCAGGAACAGGTAAAGAAATATCAACTTCATATGAGTATTTGCAGGCACGCGTTTTGGGAGGCGAAGCTGCTCTATGGGGAGAATACGTGGACGGGACAAATTTCATGACTCGCATGTGGTAAGAAATGCCATTGAGTAGTCCTTGCAGTAACATGGGCCCCAATACTCTTTTAAGGCCCCGTGCGTCTGCCGTGGCTGAACGACTGTGGTCAGATCCGGCACAGACGAAATCACACGATGATGCATGGCCACGTCTTCATGAGTTCCGATGCAGAATGATGAACCGAGGATTTGCTGCCGCACCGCCAAATTATCCCTGATTATTGCCCGTTTGAATGGGATCCTATTTATAAGGAGCTATAAATGTTGTTCGAATCTGTATTGTTACAAAATTGTCTTTAACAATAAATAATTAATTAAATAAATAAAACAGTCCTAAAAAATCAACACCTTGGTGGTCGCTGAAACGGAAATTTTGCATCGGAAACTGCTGAAGAAAAAAAATAAAAGCTAACTTTCCTGGCCGTGCCACGGATCAGGAGATTTCAATACAAAAGGATGAAATAAAATAATATTTCAGAAAACATCAAAAATAATTACAAAATAATAATAATTAAAGGGTCTCATCCAGTAAGGGGGGCATTGTGATGCAACGTCAAGTGGCTGCCCTCACCCCCCACCCCCTAGACTGCCTTCACTCCCCCTGGCTCACGGGGTCCCGTACTTCGAGAAACCTGTGCGCCAGGGGGAGTGTAGGCAGTCTAGGGGGTGGGGGGGCCGCGCAAGGGTCAACCGTCACGTTGGACCGATTTCAGGATTTTTACGACCCCCCCCCTCTTCGAGTATCTCCATACGACCCCCCCCCCTTATTATGTACGGTACACTGTAAGGAGAAAAGCTAACACTAGGGGAAGTAAGTGCAATCTACAAAATATCTAAGGACACTTGGCTTGAATTCAAACACAGTAGCAGACGAACTCTAGTTTCCTGATATCGTAATTTACTTATGCATAACATCGCAAAACGGACTGCCTTTATTAGGTGCTGAACAGTACTGCCCATTAGTTTGAATGGCGCTTTGCCTGCCTTTCATGACTTGGCGTTCAGAATCACAAAAATTTCCATCGATATGCAAACGCATCAAAAGGGGAATATTCACAATGATTTCAAGTTGCAAACGAATGCATGGCGCATCTCAGAGCGTGAGAGTATACAGCAGAAGTGTCCGACCGGAGCACGGTAGCGTTGCGTTCGCATTGGCGCGCGCAATCTTCCCCCTCGGCGCAGCGCGGGTCGCGAGAAACAGACTATTGACTTTCAAATAAGCGTAATTTTGTTCAATATCAATATTTTTCAAATTGCTAAGCGGATTTGTAATCTACTTAACTGCTTGTTTCAGAGGATCACATCTATTATGCCTTATCTTCAAAAGTACGTCGGTTATGGGGTAGAAAACAAAGAATTTACAGAAATGTGCACTTCTTCATTTGAAAGGTTGTAACTTTCTTCAAAGAAGGAACTATGAGGAGCGGTAAGAAAATTTGGAAAGATCAGACTGTTTTCTTTCTAAAAAAGCTCTAGCTTTGCAAAATCTTTTTCCTCCGAAAAATCTCCCCGTTGGACCGTTTTTTTCGCAAGACCAGGTTTTTTGGCTTTCAATTACTATAACTTTCTTCAAATTCCACCTTTTGCAATTATTGTCCCCCTGGGTTGAAGAAGAAAGTTAGAGCTTTCCAACGTGTACTTGAACTTTCTTCAAAGTTGACGGAGTCAAAAAATCGCCCCGTTGGACCGTTCTTGGGAAATCGTGGACCGATTTTTTGGAGAGCGCAGGTTTTTTGGCTTCAAATTGTTATAACTTTCTTCAGATTGAACTTTTTGCAGTTCTTATCCCCCTGAATTGAAGCAGAAGGTTAGAGCTTTCCATGAAATACTTGAGCTCCTTCTAAAGTCGAAGGAGTCAAAGAATCGCTCCGTTGGACCGTTCTTTTTTCACGAATTCTCGGAGCTACTCTCCTGAAAACGCAGGTTTTCAACACTTAAACACGTCTTCACCGACGATACCCTACCTGACAAAGTTTCTACGAAAACTCAATTTTATCGGGAATAATGATACCTGACATCGCACGAGCTTGGTGCTTCATTAGAGATGATGAACCTTTTCTAAAGAAGTTGCCGACAGGCAAATATTTTTGTTTCCAAACTTTTCTTGTAGCACTTTAGAAGTCAATCTACCATAGTGGTTACTCTTTTACTAACTTATGTCCAGTTTGAAGGCATTGGTTCACCTCTAGAATTATATTTGTGTACGTGAGCATGGATACTTTCGCAGTAGACTCTTCTGCTCTGGTGTGCGCCATGCCCTCGCTTGTGCTCAATATTTGAAGAAACACTCTGAAGTTTTACCTCTCACCTACTGCCGCGGGAACTAAGTCTTGATTCTAATCGTTCGATGGTCCCAGCAAGAGCCAACAACTGCGATCTTCATCACAACGCCCATTAAGTTCCTTATAGCGAAAACCACCTCTCGTCACCTACACCCAAAAACCTCTTCGTACTGCAACGTTGACTCCTGCGCGAATACGACCCCCCCCCTCTGGCGCAGCCAAATACGACCCCCCCCGTTGGACTTTGTCCAACGGACGGTTGACCCTGGTGGGGCAGGGTCATCGTAATCGTTCGTTATATTTGGATAATTTTTTTACGACCGCCCTCCCCTTGTATGTAACACTTGTGTAGAGACAGTGCTTTACCATCAATATTTATTGCTACGTAAGTCCCTTTGGCCTCCTGACGGTGGAGCGCATTTGCTCACGGTGAAGAGGCGTCGAACGGGGAATGTGAAAATTCGAGGAGTTTTTTTTTTTTACATTTCAGGTAGTTCGGAAGATTCAGGTGGATTTTGGATCGATGTGGCTCCTCCTTCCTAACGAGTGCTCATATTTGTTCTCAAACACTTCGGAATGAATAAGTTATTAGACAAAAAATAAAATTGCAAGAGAATTTTTACACTCCTCTTTCTAGGGCTATAACTTCCTTCATATTCGAGCTTCTGCGCCGAAGTGATTTGATTTGGAAAATTCAAATTATTCTCTCTCCAACCATGGTAAAAATTCTTCGAAAGTTAATTTAATAAAAATTTAGTACGTTGTTACTTTTTTCTGTGCAAAGGCGACTTTTTGACCTTCAAACGATCATAACTTCCTTCAAAATCATTCATTTGGAACTCGAGCAAAGAAGTCAGCCTGGCTGTATTGTTATTGGAGGAGATCTGTGCTATTCCATTTATTTATCTAGTTATCTATTTTCCTTTTATTCGATATTTTTGTGCGCAGTCACACTGCATCTTTTTTCAATGCGCAGTCATACTGCACCAACAAATAAGTAAATAAATACATAAACAAATAAGTGGAAAGATAGAGTAACTGAGCTTGATCGAATTTAACTACAAAGCAATAATTTAGCACGAGTCGGGATTGAATTGATGCTTTATTTTGTTCAAACATTAGGCAAGGGGTGCAATGAGGAACATTAGTGAGGAGAAAAAGCAAAAAGCACCATAGAAAACACTAAATTTCCCTTAGGAGGCCGGCCGTAGTACGACGGAGAGACACAGCGCTGCGAGGAGAGGGAGAACGCGAGATAGTACGTCGTACGCGAGAGGACGCAGAGACCACGTATGCCGTGGTGGATTACGCTGGCAGCGCGGGCAGCGCGGCGGGCAAGGCCTTAGCGCCATTGCCGCGCACTTTTGGGTCGCGATAGTGTCGCGCCCTCAGTGCTTGGGGAGCCACTATCGCACCCTGGGAAGAACTTCTGCTGGTTGCCTAATCCTGACTCGTGGCTTTAAGATCTTAAATTTCGATGAAACTTCTGAGAGACTCTATATGGAAGGTTCGCTGCGTTTTGAGCCTGCTCATATAGTTAGCATTTCTTCGGACCTGAAATGGTCGTTTCTCAAGGGTAAAGTAGTATAAGAGGTATATGCATTCCTGGCCTCAGCTCGGCTAAGCCGAAGCCGAACACAGCTCTTGACGGTTTATCTCATTTGATCCATTTCAGCTAACCCGAGCGTCATCCCTGATTACCTTCATATTATGTGGTGCATGGTGTGTGATTTTGTGAAGACAAACAAAACTAGAAACATCACCTCAAAAATCCTGAGAACAGATGGATACATTTTGGAAACTAGAAACATCACCTCAAAAATCCTGAAAACAGATGGGTACAATTTTGAAACAAGAGAGGCTTCCCGTCCACCTGGTCTGATCCCGAGCAAAGATCGCTGACTCAGGCTACTAGTATGTTACACAGCTGGCCCACATTATGAGCGAAAGTGCAGATGCGACCATCTTTACTACTGCTTGTTCCCAATCGATGTGTGCCAGCCCCATCTCTAGCTGACGCTTCGCTTGGATTGTTTGCAATGATTTTGATACATTTTTCCTTGGTCTGTTTACTTCCGTATGCCATACTCCTCTTCTTCAGAGAATGCGCTTAAATCTGGTTATTCTCTGCATAGCTGCTGTCGTTGCTGAAATACCATGGTACGGCGGACGTCCCTATCCTGGAGCATCCACACGGTTTGTTCGCTTTTCATTTCAATTAGGCAAGGTAGCGTTGAAAATTCTGGATTTCTATACATTTGCTTCTCACCTTTCTTTTTTTACTTGACAAAAGAAGGGAGAAGCTATCATAAGAGAAATACTAATTCTTCAAATTCTGAACACGTATAAATGTGCTATAGAAACCATTTTTGGTCATATCCCAGAGCTCTGAACTACCGCGCTGCCAGACGATACGATTTTCGATTGCGGCTGGGCTTCAAGAAAGCTCACTTCTAGCAGCAGACCTTTGAAGCAACAATAAACAAATGGATCAGTACTAGTAAGTAAAACTGTTCTATGTGTAGACAGCTGAGCGGGTGAAACGCGTTCCAAAAGCCTCTTAAAAGCGGTCATTTTGACAACTTCTCCACTGCATAAGTATACCTTCTTGAAATCTGCCGCCTGTTTGCCCATTGATACAGAACTCAAGCAGAAGTCAGTAGCATCTCCGATTTCTAGCTATCTACGCATTTATACTCAAGCTTGAGTGACTTGTAAATCCACTCGAGAATATCAGGTGCGACCGTTGTGGTGAAAGAACGTCTGTCTTTTTGCGTTAGTTTCCTCGTGACGTTTTTTGTTCTTGAAAAATCAAATATTTGTTTTTCATTCCACCGTCATATATAAGGGCATAGGCCGCTTGTAAATTGTTGCTATTAATCGCTGAAAAAAACTAACTGGAATTTGAAGACGCCACCACCCCCCCCACGACG